GATGACAGCTACGTAAAAGTTAATTGATTTTCTGGTGCTTTGACTTCCTGGGACAGTTGTAAGCACTGTGTAACTGCCTCGAGGGTGCGTGACCAACTTAACACAACGTGGTGCGATCATTCCCCTCGCGCGGAGTGAGGGTTCTCGACCCCGCACAACATGATCTACTCGACCACCATTATGGTTACCGCAAAAAAAAACCGGTAACCTGGTTGCCGAGTTCACGAAGTGAATTGGCTTGTTTTACAACGTCGTTGCCAAGCGACGAAAACCCAATCCCGATGGCAACCACCAAGGGGGGGCTTGTTTTACAACGTCGTTGCCAAGCGACGAAAGCCCAACCCCGATCGCAAACGCCGAGGGGGGCGGCGGGGGGGGGGGGTCGTTTGGAGGGCTTCTAGGGGACGAGGGCGACAAGGCTAACGGGAGGCATTGTTAGCGGTGGTGTTTCGAGGGGTGGGGGGTGAAAATCGTGAGTGTATGCTCCAGATCTCGCTATCAGGTAACGGCAGGGGTTTAGCGGCCATGGAGTGATCCAAAATACAGCGATACATGTGTGTGCAGCACCAAATAAATAAAGCACTGGCAGGAGTGCCTCAGGACTAATGTGTCAATAATAGTGCTAGTGTGAAACCCTGTATTGTGTACACAAGACAGCAGCACTTTTGGGTACAATACCCCGGAGATCTCGTGAGCGTGGCCGTGTGGGGTCACAGTTCAGCTAGAGCAGGTATTGGTCGGTGCCAGTGTTCGGCAGCATCTTGCAGCCATGCACAGCTTTCCTTAGATGTATTGTCATACCATACTTTCCGTAGCATGCGGCACGTTCCTTAGTGCCCAGTTATTCCCCTCGTGGAGGAAAACTCAAAAGTCGAGCGCCATGTACTCCAGCAGTACAGTACTGCTGTACATGTGCGATGCTACTGTGCGCAGGCCACACCTGCTGCTGGAAGGGGGGCCCGACTAGGTCGCTCGGGCGACGTGCTGGTTGTGCGGTCCAAGCGATACCTATATTGTAGCTGAACGGAGAAGGAGCGTCCTCTCGGTGATCTGATAGTCTACGCAGCAAAATCGATTAAGGAAACATATGGGATAAAGTATTCAATCCGTGCTTTGGGGTTAGGGTTAGGGTTGGGGATAGGGTCTGCGTGCCCCCTCCCTATTCTTTTTCTAGATACTCGTAAAATCCCGCGTAGGCGGTCCCGGTGATCCCACTCTCTGAGATCATGATTACCTAATGTTGGCTTGCACAAGATACCACACCCCCTGTGCCAATGAACAGCTAGACCAAAATCACTCCATGAACACGAGGATGTCGAGACCATATCATAAACAATAGTACCGGAAAGTTCACAAAGACAAGGTTCCGACGCCGCTAGTTTAGGCAACGTGGCTGTTTTTGCTGCAGAGCAATCGAACTTTGAAATCGTTCCAGGGGGAGGGTGATATCTTAAGCAATCTACACGAGAGAGAGAAAGCGACGAGTGCAACAATCACCTTCGTTGAAGAAAGGGTAGCGAAAGACCTCTTGTGGCTCGTGTCCCATTTCACCGATGATGACCGCGACGCCCACCACATCATGGTAGTGCACCGGAAGCTCGCTCGCGTTCATGAGTTTTTTGCTGTGGTTGTAGCTGCAGCGGTGCCTGCTGCGAATTCCTCCTGCAAAAAAAAGTGGCTCTATGCTCGGCGCTGACTGCTGCTGTGTTGTCCACTCCGGCTACATACTGCGTTCTACAACCTGAAAGTCTTCACAACTTTTCGTGCAAAAGGAGAAGGGCTGACGAAAATTCGCTCTCAGTCACACCTCAGCAGTAGCTGCAGCAGCAGCAGCAGCAGCAATGATCCTCGATCCACGCATGCACTGCTGCTGGCCTGCCAAGCTGCTATCATACACAACATTTGCGGCGGAATTCCGATAGCCCCGCGAAATGATGCTGGGTACGCTCCATGCTTGTTGAATTCATTTCGGAGGACCCCCGGGGAGACTTGTCTTGCTATCTCGTGCCCCTAGGAACACGCCACAGGGCAAACCCTGAACGCAACCAGGCGCCGACAGACGGATCTACCCATCGCCTCCACGTGACCTCGCCCAAACGCATCAGGGCCAGCAGTGGAAGGGGTCGGGTCGTGCTCGCTATCCTCGAGGCTAGGCCAGTGAGGATAATGGACGTAACGGTTTCCCCTGAGATCGCTCCGATCAACGCCTCCAGTCGCAGGAAGGTGTGTGCGGAAAGAGGGGGATATGGGTGGGGCTGGGCAACAAGCGGAGACGAAAGCAGCCTATTGATTGGTCGTGGTACGCGGGTAACCTTGTGGGGGTCCTCCCGGGGAGCCCAGACGTGTCAACAAAGTGATCGTTGGATTTCGGCGACACCGCCGTTCAAATCGTATCATCTCTCGTCTCCTCCACGCCACCTAACCGACCCATCTTTTCGCACACCACGAAAGGCTCCGAAAGCCAATGCGCCCGCGGCCGCCGAGTCCAACGAGGTGGACACAGAGGGGCGGACGGTGCAGTTGTTTAGGTTCCGTGGTTCACCACAGCAGCGGCGCTGTTGTATCCTCGAACATCATGATGACATGCAGTAGAGTTACGATTCATCGACTGGTGGGACTATTCGGCCTTCGCTGCTGTGTACATTTTTGGTCTAGAACTCTCGCGATATAAAACTCGAGAAGAGATCTTCATAGGATAGAAACACAGGACCGTTAGCTTGTGCCATTTCATAATAGGACAGCTGGTGTAGGGCAGGTGGGACGCGGTTGAGGTCCAGCCCAATTTTTTCAACCGAACACAAGAAGCAAGCGACAATCAGCGTGCCCTTGATGTTTTTCAAGGTGATTTGCACATCAGCATACGCACACCTTCACGTATTGAACGACCAGCGGACAAGGCGCGTTCGTCTCTGCCCGGAGCGAGCGCTTTGTATGTTGGCACTCGGGCACGTTGATGATACCAAACCGTTGGTCCTCCCCTTTTTGTGCCAAGCAGAAAAACAGAGAGAGAGGAGAGAAAAGACAGGCATACGACTACACCCACCCTGTTCATCATCAACCGCAACAACCTCCAGCCTCCCCGCAAAAGCGACGGGGCAACCCATAAGCTACGCGGCGAGCCTTGTGGAACCGTGCCTGTTCTTTAATTCGTCTGTCTGTGCTTGCGTGCGATGATGGCGGCACCAGAGAGAGCGAGAAAGAAAAAGGAGCACGACAGCACGACAGCACGACGAGAGAGTAGGGTAGCAAGAGGGCAGAGGGAAAAAGAGCAAAAAGAGATAGTGCGGCAGCATGCAGCAACCTCGCGTACGCGTTGATACATACCTGCAGCACAACAAAAATCGTTAGGGCAGTGCCCGAAAGCTTGGGGACTGGCAAAGGTGGCGTCGCTGTTACGACTGCGTGTGCATTTGCTGTTGTGATGGCGGTGATGATGATGTTTGCTGCAAGCGAGGAGACAGGAGAGGGAGAGAGGGAGATGGAGAGAGCAGTCTGTTCGTCTCGGAACACAAAGGGAGCATATAGGAGTACTTCGGGCTTTGGAGCCCCACGCATAAATTTTCTCAAGATTCATGAAGTTTGGCTCAAAATTCGCCTTCGATATGGAACTCGATTCATGCTCTTGCTGGGATCTTCCACGGGATCCGTACATTTTTTTGAGTCTTAAATAACTCTAATAATAGTGTGCACACGTGTTGCCCCCCATGGAAAAATTACCGTTTTTTTTTGTTATGCAGACATTGCAAATCATGGAATCACATCCCCTGGCCGTCCCTCCGCGTGGAGTTTTGAGTTATTCTGCTTTACCTCTCGCTGTGTAGTGCTGATCCCTGATCGTGCACATCCGATATGCATTGCCCACACGTAAAGACGCCCACACCCCGATTAATGTCGGGTTTGGTTAAGGTCAGGTGTTCAGGAAACGGCGTTGAAAGTTCGGTGCGTGCTTCCAGGCTTGGATTTCTAGTTCGGAGTATGATGTTTTCGGAGGTGGACGCATGATCAGTGTTGAGGCCTGTCTGCTGACCACGCTGCTGACTACTTGAGCATTGACTTGAATTTGGGCCGACCCTCGCAGGCCAACTGCGCTCCCTGCAGTGCTGATCCCCAATCGTGCACATCATAACATCGTTCTATGACCTTTGATCTCAACTGTTGCCAAGTATCGGCCGAATCGGGGGACTGCAGTGTTTCAGCAATCCTATTAGAGGTGAAAGTTGGCCCACACGAGCTGGAAAGGTTGCGCGCAGCAGCACAAAGCTGGTTCAACTCAGATGTGATCGTGAGGCATTCCTCGTGAAGCATTCCTCACGTCCAAAGCAAAATCAAATGGTGAAAACTGCTTTCCGATGGAGGGTATGATCTGCGTGAGGTGCCTGTGTACTTTGGTGGCACGCCGAGGTGTGTGTGAGGAGCACGAGGTGGTGAAAGGACTGGGGTCAGCCATGTCCAAGCTGGGGAGGGGATGAAACAAAGTTGAACCCGCTGAAACCGGTGGCGTGATTTTTTATCTGTACTTTTTTCCAAGTTTGTGAAGAGGGCAACACGTGTGTGTGTATCTTGGACATCGCGGGGCGAGCTCCGAACTGAACGGGGGCCCGTACTGCGGATAGCACAGCAGTAGAGGGGGACTAGACTCCCTTTTGTGCCACACACACACACACACACACACACCGGACGATACAACCGAAGTTTTGAAGTCACAAAGTCGCGAGGAACCCCCGCGAACCTTCGAGCATGGTGGTTCGTGGCGCAAAATCGTTCTCTGCATTTATCCACCATCATCATGATCATACCAATAGAGGTGGCACATGCCCGTTCTGACCCCCCCCCCCGCGCGCGCCACGCACGACGGGCAACACGTTCCTCTTGCCGTGTCTCCCAGCGATCCCTCAGCCCGGCACCATCTCACGGGGCTCCCGCCTCTGGCTCCCTCTTCGGCAAGGGACCGCCGCCCGCCGCCGCTCCGCGTTCGCCGGGGCGGAGCAAGATGACGCGGACCGGCCTCAAGACCGTGTCGCCGTGGTCCAGCAACCGGCTGTTTTCATCGTCATCGTCGCAGGGGGCACCGGCGGCGGCTGGGGAGGCGGTTGGAGGACATTACGGGACAGCGATCATGACGCCACAGCAGGAGCAGCAGACTCCCGCGACCACCGACTACCATCACGCCGACTTTTTCAGACGCGTGTCCGCTTCGTCCTCGGCGAGGGCGGCGCCTGCGGCTTGCTCCATGGCCAACCCTTGCCCTCCCCCGGCGGCGGCGGCGGCTTCATTCGCCACCTCCGGCGGCCCCTTTGGGGACACCCACGAGGCTCAGGAAAAGAGGACGGCGGCGGAGGCGGCTGAAGCGGGCGGGTGCTCCAAGAATGTCGCGTTCTCCCACTCAGATGAGCTCTCCGCCAACGACATGGAAAAAGATGGCGACACCATGGGCATCGGTGTTGACGGGGGCGGGGGTGGAGGCGGGGGCGGGATGGGTCACGGCGCCAGCGGAGGGGAACCGTTCCCACCTTACGTCCGGACCCTTGGCTGAGAGTGTCCTCCAGGTTAGAACGGATCCGCGCTGCCTCTTACATACAACCCACCATCTCTGCGGCGAGTGTGCAGGTTAGGCGCACTAGTGGTCCATCAGAGTCGGGTGTCGTGTCCCCTGGCAAGCAGGTGGGCACGTGAGCGCATCTCCCACCTCCGCGGCGTGTGTGTAGGTTAGGTTAGCGGTCCGTCAGAGTCGGGTGCCCATGTCCCTTGGCAAGCGGGTAGGCAATTGAGCGCATCTCTCGGTGGAAGAGACGTCGTTGCTGCCGCTGATGTTGCTGCCGCTGGTGATGCTGATGCTACTTGTGGCACGGGGCGTTACCGCCTTTGTAGACGTCTTGCTGGTCTTGCTATTGTAGGGGCATCCTTGTGGGTGGGAGATGCACAGTGGGTTGGAGTTGTACAGTAATGAACAATAGGAGGCGTTGTTGTCGAGGCTGGGCTTAGACCATCGCGTACACGCTCTGCTGTGTGTATTTGCACCTTTCTGACTCACTTGATGAGTTGCGCCCAATCGCAAAGAAGGTGTTTGATGGTCGGGGGGGAAGTGTTGGTGTTGACGATGGCTTGCGAGATGATCCGACGCGACCTTCGACCGAAAGAAAGCGAACGGAAAATACCGATGTTGAGCGTATCAACTGCCGCTGCTTGTGTGTGCATGTTGTATCGGTTGCGGCAAACTGGGGATAGGATACTGCATTCCTCGGCATTAGACCATTAGACTGCATTCCTCCGCATTAGACCATTAGTAAATAGGGTTAGCAGCTGACTGTACCTTCAACGAAAAAGCTGTGGGTTCTTTACACTATTTTCTATGTTGAAAAATCGATTTGCCATGTTTGTTGTATTTCTTTTCTGGAAAACCGAAAAGTGACTTGTGATATGAACATGGAGTAGGAGCGAGCGCGGTTGGGTTTCGCGAGAGTGCACATGGTGGCGGGCTGGTGCGTGTAGAGAACCAGGGTCCCCCCTGTCAAGTAGTGGGGTCGATGAAGCACTGCAACAATGTGGCACGCTGTAGCGGTGGCACGGCTAGAATGCAGCGAGGGGCAGCCATTGGGTGCTGCTACCAGAAGAGAAGAGAGCCATTAGGCGGAAGGGATGCGTGTGTCCCACGAAGCGGTGTCTTTGATATGCACCGTAAGAGTCGGAAAGTTGGCACCGGGTGCGATCGTTTTTGATTATTTTTGTTCCTAGGGTTTTTTATCGCACCCCGGTGCCATCCTTCCCCCCGGTGTTTGCAACCGGGATTGGGTTTTCGTCGCTTGGCAACGACGTTGTAAAACAAGACAATTCACCTCGTGAACTCGGCAACCAGGTTGTTGCCGTTTTTTTTTTCACTGCTTCTTTTTTGGCGGTAAGCATAATGGTGGTCGAGTAGATCATGTTGTGCGCGGTCGAGAACCCTCACTCCGCGCAAGGGGGATGATCGCACCACGTTGTGTTAAAATGGTCAAGCACCCTCGAGGCAGTCACAGTGCTTGCAACTGTCTCTGCAAGTGAAAGCACCAGAAAATAAATGAAGTCATACGCAGCTGTCATCCGTACGCAAGGAAGTAAGCACAAGATGCTGAACGCCCTTAGAGCACCCTTTATGCGACTCGCCGAATACCTCACGGCGCTTCGCGCGTGGTGATGTGAGAGCCTGGTCCGGTGAGAACCCGGCGTGCTCCGTCCCGGCTTTGTAGGGATGCGAGGTCAATGGTCTAACGACTACGGCATGCACGACTATGAGTACANGAATTTTCAAGGCACCCCGGTGCGATCTCTCCGACCGGTGCGATCCCCGATGAAATGCACACAAGTGTTGTATGCACGCACCCCGGTGCCATCACCCCGGCCGTTGCCATAGTATTGATTGGTACCAGTGTAGGTACCCACGTACGCCACGGCCTTCTGCACACACACACACGCAGCACGGGCCCGCAATCAAGAAAAATTCCGTCAAGAAAAAAGGCTCAACTTTTGACGAAAAATATGAAAAAAGGACCAAGAAACACGGCTCAATCTGACCACAACATCAGAAGCGTCCCAATAAGAAACATGACCGTGCGATACCCCCACTACATAAGAAACAAGGGTTGCTCGGCGAGCGTATCCAATATGAAACGTCCCACTGCTGCTCCTTCCGTGCTCCCACTCCCCCCGTACCTAGCTGGACAACGTTTTTTTTCGTAGGGGGGGAGAGTGATAGTTGGCTCTGTCCCCCCCACCTCTCCGCTATAGCTACTCCGCGCCTCTGCGGGCTGCTTTACCCTCTGCTGCATGTTTGGTGTGGTTGTGTGTAGACTATCCTCTTAGCCCGAAATCAAAGAACATGAGAAATAAGAGAATCATGAGGATTCGCCAGTCAGTCCAAAGGAATACGAAATGCTTTTTAAGAAAATGCACGACTTCGGCTGGTCCTTCGACGGAAAGTAAGGGATTGAGCCTCGACCCAATTTTGGCGTTTCTTTTCTCCGGGCCCGTACTGTATATATATATATATATATATCTCGGTCGCCCCGGTAGTCTAGCGGGTAGCCTCGCAGCCTGGCAAGGGCCAGGTGAAGGGTTCGAGTCCCGGCAGAGTGAATTTTTTCTCACTAAATAAATCCTGGTCTAGGATGAAAGCGACGCGCTGCACAGCTCGTTGTTTGTAAACTTATCGTAAGTCGCCAGGATTGCTGTATGTACCCTTCTCGCGATAAAAATACCTCAGGCAGGAACCGCAGGAGGGGGTCCAGCCCCCCCCCTCCTATGTGACCCCGGTTGGGTCGTCTAGCTAGTAGTAGTGGAGGATAGGGGCCATGGGGGCAGACGACAGAGTCCAATGATGGGAGAAAAAAAGTATATATAGACTATAATAAATAGTCAATCTGAGCCGGATCGAAATACACATCTATCTACATACAACATACCCCCCGAAAAAAGCTGCGAAATAGCGCATCTGAGTTGTTGGTACCAGTACACACACGCGGTATCACTTGCTTCTCGCTTTCGTTTCGGTTTTCTTCTAGAAGAAAAAACATCCCCTGAAGTATAAGATAAATGGCTTGATCCCGTTCGTTGAATGGCGTTTATTTGAAGGCCAAGTAGTGTGATATCCCCTCCCCTTCGAGCGGACGAGACAAGTTTGTGTATTAGACTATTATTGTTGCATGTATGCGTGCAGCAGGTATGTATTCGTTTTCCAAACCCACCAAAAATATTGGAAAACAGACCTACTTGCGAAAAACCACTTGTATTGTGTTGTTTTCTCTATTGGGGGTGGCAGCTCGCGTTCATCCCGGTTGGTTGGTGACTCGCTGGCTCTTGCCCGACTCGTGTGCGTGCTTGGAGGTTAGGTGTCCTAAAAAATAGAGGCGTGCGTGAGTTGATGGAGGGGGGGGGGGGGG